GCTCTTCTGCAGAGCTCGGTTGTAACGAGTGCTTATTTGAGTTACTGTTACCTTTCTATCAGCTGGAACCAGTCTGGCCATTCTCCTCTGACATCATCAACAAGGCATTTGCGCCCACAGAACTGCCGCTCACTGGATATTTCCTCTTTGTCGGAGCATTCTCTGTAAACCCTAGAGATGTTTGTGTGTGAAAATCCCAGTAGATCAGCAGTTTCTGAAATACTCAGAGCAGCCCGTCTGGCAGCAACAACCATGCCACATTCAAAGCCACTTAAATCCCCTTTCTTCCCCATTCTGATGCTGAATTTGACCTGCAGCAGATCGTCATGACCATGTCTACATGCCTAAAAGCAGTGAGCTGCTGCCATGTGATTGGCTAATTACAAATTTGATGAGCAGTTGGACAGGTGTACTTACTGTAATAAAGTGGCCAGTGAGTGTATATATATATATATGTGTGTGTGTGTGTATATATATATATATATATATATGTGTGTGTGTGTGTATATATATATATATATGTGTGTGTGTGTGTGTGTGTGTGTGTGTGTGTGTGTGTGTGTGTGTGTGTATATATGTGTGTGTGTATATATATGTGTGTGTGTATATATGTGTGTGTGTGTGTGTGTGTGTGTGTGTGTGTGTGTGTGTGTATATATATATATATATATATATATATATATATATATATATATATATATACATACTGTTGAAATCGGAGACAGAGAGCTTGTTTAACGTTGTTTAACGGAGAGCAGATTACTTCAACACATTTCTGAAAATAATAGTTTTAATAACTCGTCTCTAATAACTGATTTATTTTATCTTTATCATGATGACAGTAAATAATATTAGACTAGATATTCTTCAAGACACTTCTATACAGCTCAAAGTGATATTTAAAGCCTGAACTAGGTTAGTTAGGTTAACTAGGCAGGTTAGGGTAATTAGGCAAGTTATTGTATAACGATGTTCTGAAGACTATCGGAATAAAATATAGCTTAAAGGGGCTAATAATATTGTCCTTAAAATGGTGTTTAAAAAATTAAAAACTGCTTTTATTCTAGCCAAAATAAAACAAGACTTTCCCCAGAATAAAAAATATTATCAGACATACTGTGAAATTTCCTTGCTCTGTTTAAACATAATTTGGGAAATATTTAAAAAAGAAAAAAACAAAATCAGAGGGGGCTAATAATTCTGACTTCAACTGTATATATACATACATTATGTATGTATTTACATGAATTTAAATTATGAGTGTAAAAACGTTTTGTTTATTGTTTTATTCAATAGTTTTATTGCATTTTTAATGTATGCATTTATTCAGTACTTTGATTGAAAAAACTCACATTCTGTCTTTCATTTCATATTTGATTTCAGTTGACATATTACATATACATTGTTTGATTACTTTTTTATTTTACTTGTAATAAAAATGCAACATTTGTTTTATTTACAACTGAGTTTTTTTATTTATTTTATATTTACTGAAATTAAAAGTTTCATTTAAATAATAATATTTATATTATATAACATTTTGATTTTAATGAAAAGGTCAATATTTTTTTCCAGCAATTTCAATGGTTCATTCATTCGTTCGTTCATTTCTTTTCGGCTTAGTCCCTTTATTCATCAGAGGTCGCCACAGCGGAATGAACCACCAACTTATCCAGTATCTGATTTACATAGCGGATGCTCTTACAGCTGCAACCCAGTACTGGGAAACACCCATACACACTTCTTCACACACACACTCATACACTACAGAAATTAGTTTGCTCAATTCCCCTATAGCGCATGTGTTTAGACTGTGGGGGAAACCGCCAACACGACGAGAACATGCAAACTCCACATAGTAATGCCAAATGCCGAACCAGCGACCTTCTTGATAAAGTGCTAGCCACCGTGCCGACCTTGTCACTGTGTAGCCCCTGAATATTTGATTTTAAATGTTACATTTATTATATTTATTATTATATAGTAATTTTAAAATCGGAATTTACCAAAAGTTTATTCAGTGTTTTAGTTTTATCCATTTCAATTTTGTAATTGCATTTCAACATTCAATGATTTCATATTTTGAGTGGACTTTTGCTTTACTTTTATTATTTTTCAAAATTTACGTTTGACTCTTATTCATCTTTTTCACAAAAACGTTGCCTTCAGTTTTAACCCTTTGACTTTCCTTCAAATTAAATGCATTTATTCGTTTTTAACGTAACATACAGATGCAACTTCGATTTTAAATTCAGATTTTCATCTTGCTTTGTTTTATGGTTTTGCATTATTAATCAGTCGACCTCTCGCACTATGATAAATCAGACAACAACAATAATCAGCATGCCGCTTAAACATAACAAAATCACTCAAAATAAGCAACAACTGAATAGAATGATGGATAAACACATGAGAGCAATGGCCTCTGGATGTCAGTCATAATCTAAATCAGCTCTAGTCTGGCGGGGGGCTTCGGTGGGCTGCTTTTGGGCTGGGTTCACACACAAACTTACTTGTTTCAGGGATGAGCAAGTCCAGGCCCTGCGAGTCCCGGATCGGGTCACTCTTGCAGGGGCCGCCGTCCTTCAGCCCATTCTCCTGGGCATCAGCGGCGGCAGAAACACCACTGCAGGGAGTCTCCTGAACCCCCTCAGCCTAAAACACACAGCAGCACGTCAATAGCACACATGAGGGTGGGATGAGGGCGAACACACACATACACAATGCATGCTGGAGGTAGATGGAGGATATACAGCACCAGAATGATTGAGCGGCAGAAATTTACCACTGCTGTTCCAAAATGGATGAAAGCTTTAATATTAGCTTAATATTACGCCTGTCGTAATATAACAAAACTTTTATTTTGATGGGTTACTATGAGGAAACTGTGAGTTTCTATGTGTACATTAGAGTTGGAGTCCATTGCAAAAAGAATCGATTCCTTGATTCTGATCCGTTAAGAATCAAGAGTCATTTCTAAACACAATTGATTCCACTATTCCAAAGTGATTCCTTGATTCAGAGGTGTTATTAAAGAAGAATCAATTCCAAAAACAAATGATTCCTCAATTCTGAGGCATTGGCAATCAAGAGTCTACAAAATAATTGACTCCTCGAATCTGAAGTGTTGTAAATCAAGAGTCAATTGCAAAAACCACTGGTTCCTCAATTCCGAGACATTGAGAATCAGGAGTCAATTCAAAAACCTTTGATTCGTTGATTCTGAGACATTGAGAATCAGGAGTCAATTGCAAAAACCATTGATTCCTCAAATCCGAGACATTGAGAATCAGGAGTCAATTGCAAAAACCATTGATTCCTTAATTCCGAGACATTGAGAATCAGGAGTCAATTCAAAAACCATTGATTCGTTGATACTGAGACATTGAGAATCAGGAGTCAATTGCAAAAACCACTGATTCCTCAATTCCGAGACATTGAGAATCAGGAGTCAATTCAAAAACCATTGATTCGTTGATTCTGAGACATTGAGAATCAGGAGTCAATTCACAAACCACTGATTCCTCAATTCCGAGACATTGAGAATCAGGAGTCAATTCAAAAACCATTGATTCTGAGGCATTGAGAATCAGGAGTCAATTCAAAAACCATTGATTCGTTGATTCTGAGACATTGAGAATCAGGAGTCAATTCACAAACCACTGATTCCTCAATTCCGAGACATTGAGAATCAGGAGTCAATTCAAAAACCATTGATTCGTTGATTCTGAGACATTGAGAATCAGGAGTCAATTCAAAAACCATTGATTCGTTGATTCTGAGACATTGAGAATCAGGAGTCAATTCAAAAACCATTGATTCGTTGATTCTGAGACACTGAGAATCAAGAGTCAATTGCAAAAACCACTGATTCCTCAATTCCGAGACATTGAGAATCAGGAGTCAATTCAAAAACCATTGATTCGTTGATTCTGAGACATTGAGAATCAGGAGTCAATTCAAAAAACATTGATTCGTTGATTCTGAGACATTGAGAATCAGGAGTCAATTCAAAAACCATTGATTCGTTGATTCTGAGACATTGAGAATCAGGAGTCAATTCAAAAACCATTGATTCGTTGATTCTGAGACACTGAGAATCAAGAGTCAATTGCAAAAACCACTGATTCCTCAATTCCGAGACATTGAGAATCAGGAGTCAATTCAAAAACCATTGATTCGTTGATTCTGAGACATTGAGAATCAGGAGTCAATTCAAAAACCATTGATTCGTTGATTCTGAGACATTGAGAATCAGGAGTCAATTCAAAAACCATTGATTCGTTGATTCTGAGACACTGAGAATCAAGAGTCAATTGCAAAAACCACTGATTCCTCAATTCCGAGACATTGAGAATCAGGAGTCAATTCAAAAACCATTGATTCGTTGATTCTGAGACATTCAGAATCAGGAGTCAATTCAAAAACCATTGATTCATTGATTCTGAGACATTGAGAATTAAGAGTCAATTCCAAAAACCATTGATTCTTCGAATCAAAAGTGTTGAGAATCAAGAGTCATTTCCAAAAAATAAACAATTCCTCAATTCTGAGGTGTTAAGAATCAGAGGTCAGTTTCAAAAACAACTGATTCCTTGAATCTGAAGCTTTGAGAATCGAGAGTTGATTTAAATAACTATTGATACCTTGATTCGGAGGTGGGAAGATACAAGAACTGATTCCCAAAAACAACTGAATCCTCAAATCCAAGGCATTGAGATTAGGGAGTCAATTCCAGAAACAATTGATTCCTTGATTCTGAGGTGTTGAGAATGAAGAATTGATTCCAAAGACAATTGATTCTTCAATTTTGAGGTATTGACAATTGAGAGTCTACAAAAAAAAATTAGTTCCTTAATTCTGAAGTGTTGAGGATAGAGAGTTGAAAACAACTGATTCCTTGATTTCAGAGGTGTTGACATTTGACTCAATTCTAACAATATTGGATTCTTCAACTCAGAGGCGTGAAAAATCAAGAATTCCTTCCAAAAATAATTGAATACTGGAATCCGCATTGCGAATAGGAAGTCACACCCAAAAACAACCGATTCATTAAATCAGAGGCAATAAGATTTGGGAGTCAATTCCAAAAACAATTGATTCCAAAATTCTGGGGTGTTGACAATCGACAGTCTACAAAAAAAAAAAAATAATAATAATAATAATTCCTCGAATATGAAGTGTTTGGAATCAAGATTCGATTGCAAAAATAACTGATCCCTTAAATTCGAGGAGTTGAGAATCGAAGTCTATTCCAAAAACAATTGATTCATTGATTCCAAGGTGTTAAGAATCGAGTCTATAAAAAAATTGATTCCTCAAATCCAAGGTGTTGAGAGTTGATTTAAAAAAAAAACAACTGACTACATGACTACATAAAGCATTGACACTTGGGAGAGGACAAAAAACATTTATTCCTTGAATTCGAAGTGTTGAGAATCGAGAGTCAATTGCAAAAAAAAAATAATTCCACAATTCTGAGGCGTTGAGAATAGGGAGTCAATTCTAACAATTGTTGATTCATTGAATCGAAGGTGTTGAGAATCGAGAGTTGATTCCAAAAACAATTGATTCTATGTATTGTTCAGTAAATCAATATATTAAATATTGTTACAGAAGGATCCAGTTTAACTAGCAGTAAACAACCCTTCCACTGCATTTATTAGTCTCTGCTAAAATTACAAGTTTCCATGAATACAAACATCTCACATTAATGCATTTACTTAAGAAAGCTTTTTGTAAAGTGAAACACTAGACTGGTGCTGTATATCTGCAACACCTAAACATAACACAATAATGAATGCTTAATCCAATAAAAAAAATCATAAGAGAAGCAATAACTAAATTACATTCATGTATACATTATATACACATAAACAAAAAAAAAGCATGTGGAACTGAACCTCAATTGCAACATAATGTACAGTATATAATCACAAAAATAAAAAGCAGTGCATATGCATCCATGCAAATGGAGATGCCCGGCGATCATTAAATTGAATGTATTTGAGACTATTTAAAATCATTTTGTATTATTAACATTATTAATTATCTATACAACTAAACTAAAAGAAATAAGACTTTATCCAGAAGAAAAATATAATAGGAAGTATAGACAAAATGTCCTTATATAGTATATTTAACAGCACTTATATAGTATTAGAATAGTATTATGAATATTAAAAAAATTAAAAAAAATTAACAGGATTGCTAATATTTGTGTTTAAACTGTTTGTATTTATTGCAAAAGTATATATAAACTGCATTTTTGTTAACACTTTAAATTAAAGTGATGTAGTTGCACATGTTCCATGCACTTACTATAGTAATGACAATGAATTATGCATAATAACATGTAACTAATCCTAAACCTAGCCCACATTCGAAGCCCAAACATTACAATAAGTCCATGTAAATGATCACTCAGAAGTTAAATTAATAGTTTTACCTTAACATAAAGTGTGAGGAACATATTAAACCAGCATCAGTGTGATGAAATCTGCTCATGCTGTATTGAATGTGGATGGCTATGGAACAGTAATGGCGTGGTCATGTGACTGGGATGGATGGCTATAGGCTGAGGGGCAGGTGACATCACGACCACTGCAAACCCACCAGGAGGAGCGTGGAAAACAACCCAGCGAGACCAAAACCCAAAACCCTCACCATCCAAACAGATCTCCAATTGAGCGCTTTCATTAAGTATCCTGTTGCCTAACATTACATTTCCCATACATATAATCCTGAGGGTTTGTGGCTGGAATGGAAACACTTGCAGCAAATGGATTTCAAACAAATAAAGCATGAAGACTTGTAAAATAAGCACCGTAATCCTTCAGTATGTGTTAAGCTTCCAATAAAAGTGTGAGGTTAAATTATCTCGAGGTACTTACCACTCAACAAACACCATTTAAAATCTTTATATACCTCCTACCTTTCTTAAAAACACAGCTGCAGCCATTTGTCATCATATCACATACAATCAAGTTTACTTTGATCACTTAAAGGTCCCATGAAATTAAAATAGGTTTTTGAAGATGTTAGTATGAGTATTATTCATTTTTAGGAAATGTATAACCTAGTGTGCTTCAAAACAGTAAAGAACTTCACACATACAACTTAGATAAACATGTAAAGCTTGTGGCTTGTCACTACTGCCTAAACAGATTTTCAATAAAACTATTTTATAGTCGTCACTTCAGTTTTTCATCACATCATAACCAATCAAATGCTCGCTAGTGTCTGACATGCCCCGCCCCTTTTCAAGACGCTTCTCGTTTGCTTTTCATTTGATGCGCTTGAGCTCAGTCAATCTCACTGACAGAGCGGGATTAAACAAAACGCTATTGGCTGTTTTTTAATAAGGGGAGGAGCTATGTCCCGCCCTCTCTTCGTGTTTCGTTGGAGGTCACGTCAAATATCGAATAAAAATGCAAACTTCACAGCACATCATAGGACCTTCAAGCTATTTTCAAAATATAGTTAAATACATATGTTTTGTTTAATTTTGACAATAATGTATCCTGAATTACAGTAAAACTGCAACATTAAACCAGATCATTCTGTTAATTTTGTACAAAATTCATCTGAAACATTAAAGTAGCCCCATTATTTGCATTTCATATACTTTCTCTGCATATAAAACTGATTTTAATACAAGTACAGCTCAGAATATTTTGTTTCATTTGGACAACGTATCCTTTAAGCTCAATTACTGTACATTTAACATAAGTTCACCCATATTTTGTCAATTTATTCCAAAAAAATGATCTGAAACATTAAATTAGACACTTTATTTGCATTTTATATACTTTGCATATAAGATTGCTAAACTACAGTTCAAGAGTTCGCCCTTAGCTGATGATTGATTATGAAGCGTGTTTGGCATGCTGTCCCGGGAGAGAGCCTTGAGTTCAGGTAGGTCTCGAGAACTCCCCTGCTTGATAATGTTGGAAGTAGATTGATGCTGTGAAGTGTCTATGCTGTCAATTTAGATTTGTCAATTTGCTTATGTTACATGTTTTTGGTATGTGGGAGGAAACCGGAGAGCCCGGTGAAAACCCAAACAAACATGGGGAGAACATGCAAACTCCGCACAGAAATGCCAACTTAGCCAGGTAGTGTCTGAGCCAGTGGCATTCTTGCTGTGAGGCATTGATGCTAACCAGTAGGCCTCCGTGCTGCCCTGACAAGAACATGGGAGGAGTAGGGGTGGATTCTTCAAGACGAAGATGGCTGAAGTAAGATACTCTGGTTATTTATAGTGGTTAAGGAGTCATCTGATTGGTGAATCAGTGTTAGCTAATGTGGACCATAAGCACGTGCTCCTCTCGAAATTAGTTTATAGATAAACTTCACTAGTATTTTACCTAAATTCACCCCTATTTTGTTAATTTACTTTAATAGAAATGGATATGAAATGTTAAAGTAGGCACTTTTTGTGTATTTTATAAACTTTTGTTGCATATAAAATAAACTTTGCATACATTATTTAATGTCGACACCAAATAGAGCCCTTAAGCTGAAGTTACATAGTCAAATTTCTTGTCTAAGTTTAACTTGGCTGTTTCTGTGCAATTGTGAACGGACGTTTTGTAGTGTAAAATCTTTCTATAACAAAACCAATATATAACATATAGTATTATTACAACAATATCATTAAGCTCAATTGAAATAATTAACTTTTGGGTTAATAATTCCTTTAAACACCAAAACAAAACTATAAATATACTGAAAATGTATTGTAATGTCTTTTGAAATAACAGCATGGATAATTATAGTACTTGATATTTTTGTAATGGAGAAACGAACCTAAGACTAACCTAAGATTAAAATCTCATATATTTACAACACAATGAAGAGACTGGATTGAGCATATACCCCCTACACGCTTTAGACTTTGTGAACTGAATAAAATAAAAGCGTATACACAGACATTCCAGGCATCGGGTCCAAATGTGTTGAGGGATTTTTCCTTAACTTATTTGTTGTTTGTTAGTTGATTGTCTTTTTGTTTAATTTTAAAAGCAGGAATTTTTATAAGAGGTATGCAGAACTTACTTTGACAAACGTACGAGAATACTTTTAAGTGTTTGTACTTATAATTCAAACTAATAATAGTAATGTTATACATAAACGTCTGCTTCTTATAACATGCTTATTTGTCTGTATATGAATTTTTTTCAATAATAACACTGCCTGATTTCTCATGAACACCTATAATGTCTCTGAAGGTTTAACTGGACGTTTGTGCAAACCTTGATTTTCCCTCCTCCAGGCTCATGGTTGACATTATCCATGGATCCCACCTTGGACTGAGCTTTATCCTTATAGTTCACCTTATGGCTCTCGATCTTGACTTCACCTCCACCTGCAGAAACCATCAAACATTTACAGTTCACACTTTACAATAAAGTTGGATTAATTAATGTTCATTCAGTCATTTTTCTTCAGCTTAGTCCCTTATTTATCAGAGGTTGCCACAGCGGTATGAACCCATACACACCTACATTTACACACACACACTGTGGCCAATTTAGGTCATCAATTTCCCTATAGCGCATGTGGTTGGATAGTAGGGGGAAACCAGAACACCCGGAGGAGAACAGGGAGAACATGCAAACTCCACACATAAATGCCAATTAGATAAAAAAACGAGCATGAGGCGTTTTTTTTTTTAAATGACGTTTTTGTGGCTGGCGTTTTAAGCGTTGGTGTGCACGATCACATTCACAACCTTTATTTAGTCACGGGGTGTTAAATGTCGACGGAAAAAGCAAACAAAAAACGTCTCAGTGTGCACGGGCCTTAACTATGATCAATTATATAGAATTATATTGAATTTTCTTTATTTTAATCATTCAGTTACCGTACTTGAATACTGTTAGACTCGCCTTGCGCCGCATGTATGATAGGGGCCCATTAAGTCATCTGTTAAAACTGTATTCATATCGCAATATTTATCGCTAAATAAAAAAATATCCCAATGTTAGATTTTCACAATATCCAGAACACAGTATTAGTTCCTGTAGTAGTTGATGTCGTTGGTATAGTGGTAGCAGAAGCAGTAAAAGTGTCGTTGTAGCAGTAGTAATCGTTGTTGGTGTAGTAGTATCAGTAGTAGATGTCGTTGATGTAGATGTTGTAGTAGCAGTGATTGCGGTAGTAGTAGTAGTAGTAGTAGACGTTGTATTAGTTGTAGCAGACGCTGTAGTATCAGTAGTGGTAGTCATTGTTGTGGTAGTATCAGCAGTAGTAGACATTATAGTAGTAATAGTTGTGGTTGTGATTGTAGTAGCAGCAATAGTAGTTAATAATTATATAGTAATATAAGTAACTTTCTGCAGTAGTAGTAGTTAGGGTAGTACTTGTGATTTATTATCATTGTCATTTATTATTACTGTTGTCCTTTCTTTCTTTTTACTGTCATTATTTCTATTATACATTACTAAGCATAGTTGTTACTCCCTAACTCTGACTGGTTTCTTTTGTATCTGTTTTACTTATATCTGCGAGACTAGATTCATTTATTGGCTAACATTGTTCCTAATGTATATAATCTGACCTTCCACCAAGTTACCTTTACATGGACACACACACACACACACACACACACACACACACACACACACACACACACACACACACACACACACACACACACACACACACACACACACACACCTAACAGTACCTGACTATATTGTTTTTTTTTGTTTTTTTTGTTTTTGTTTTTTATTGTTGTTTTGTTATGGTTTTTTGTATTTGTATGATCCCAATTTATGTACCTTTTTGCATATTCTAATTTAAAAAAAAAAAAAATAAATAAAAAAAAGATTTTCACAATATCCTGCAGCTCTATCAATTAGCCAAGAAAATAGTTTTTAAGACCAAAAACCCTGAAATAAAAAGAAACTGCAAAGGCAACTCTAGAAGAACAGTCCTCCACATCTCCTCATACCTGGTTTATGTTTGATGTTGGATTTGGATCCACACTTCGAGGTCACTTTACTCAAGTCGATCTTCTTGCTGAGAATCTGAACCTGTGAACACATACAATCATCCCACATGACCAATGAAATGAAAGATGGCGAAATCAAAACTGAGCAACGGGACATGCAGTGGATCAACCTAAAGCAAACAAGATGGCGAGGGAAGGAAAGACACACCAAAAACTCTTCAATGACATGACTTCAGAAATTTGATCTGGAGTTGGTGTATAAACAAACACCCAGAGTCAAAACCTCCTGATTTGCTTGTTTTGGAAAACGCAGCTCAGCACCAGCAGATATGAGAAATCCTAATTGGTCCCTGAGCACCAGCAGCTCTTATATGTGAAGAAAGCGCCTCACTGTTTTATGGCACAATGGACAGAATGAAGGTGTTTGTCTGATATGGACTACACCGCATGCAGTGGCGTTACTTACGTTCCCTCCACCAGGAATATGTTTCATATTGTCCTTGGAGCCCAAGCGTGAGGTCACGTGACTGTAGTCCACTTTTTTGGAGACTATCTGAACCTATGAACACAGCACGGCAGGCGGGAGGAACGGGACACCAGGGAGGACCAGGTTAGAGAGGGGAGACAGAGGAGGACACAAGCAGAAGCACCTGAAAGCAGCTAAAACCCCACTGTGTTTGTGTGTGTGTGTGTGTGTGTGTGTGTGCGTGCGTGCGTGTGTGTGTGTGTGTGTGTGTGTACTGAGTCTGCAGTTAGTATCAGGGCTGAGGTGAGAAACCAATGCATTCTGATTGGGGGACCAGTATACATATTTTCAGAATGGACTGCAACGCTCTCTGGGTTCTAGATTTAGTTTTTAACAGCAGTTGACGCTCTAGACTAGTTTTAAACAGCAGTTGACGCTCTAGGCTAGTTTTTAACAGCAGCTGGTGCTCTAGGCTAGTTTTAAACAGCAGCTGGTGCTCTAGGCTAGTTTTAAACAGCAGCTGGTGCTCTAGGCTAGTATTTAACAGCAGATGACGCTCTAGGCTAGTTTTTAACAGCAGATGACGCTCTAGGCTAGTTTTTAACAGCAGATGACGCTCTACGGTAGTTTTAAAACAGCAGATGGAGCTCTAGACTAGCTTTTAGCAGCAGATGGCGCTCTAGGCTATTTTGTAACAGCAGATGGCGCTTTAGACTAGTTTTAAACAACAAGTGACGCTCTAGGCTAGATTTTTACAGCAGATGGTGCTCTAGACTAGTTTTTAGCAGCAGTTGACGCTCTAGACTAGTTTTTAACAGCAAATGGCGCTCTAGACTAGTTTTAAATAGCAGATGGCGCTCTAGACTAGTTTCAAACAGCAGATGGTGCTCTAGACTAGTTTTTTAGCAGCAGATGACACTCTAGACTAGTTTTTAACAGCAGATGATGCTCTAAACTAGTTTTTAGCAGCAGATGACGCTCTAGGCTAGTTTTAAACAGCAGCTGGTGCTCTAGGCTAGTTTTTAACAGCAGATGACGCTCTAGGCTAGTTTTTAACAGCAGATGACGCTCTAT